CATTATAGTTCAAAGTTTTTAGTCCATTGCTGAGACAGGATGACTGCATTGTGCCTAATCCCTACAAAGTATCAGGAAAAACAACAACAACAACAACAAACCCTCAGTTCCTATTCACCTTTGAATGAATTAACAAACTGGATGTGAATTAACAACTAACCTAGGAAGTACTGCCACAAGGAAATAGCCAGACTCAGCCTATGTGGACAGGTCCCTGTGGAGGCCTAAAGGAGCAATCTCTTTGGGATATGGTGTAGCCAGATGATCTAAATGTAGACAATCTGTTAGTCTATTCCTCCATATGAGAGTAAAATTTTGATCATTTGATTAGCTCTTCCTAGCAGAACGTGTCCAGGGAAGGAGCACAGCTGGTCTACCAGGGGCGGAACTACTTAGGGTTCATCTTTATCCCTGGGGAACAGATACTGTCCGCATAGAGGCGACAGGCCATTTAGCAAATTCTTACTCCTCACAGAGGGTAAAGGCCATGTAGCAAATCTTTACTCCTATAAACTTAGGATGGCTCTGGCATTTTGCCAAGAAAGGGGTCATATATCCCTAAATAGAAAGAAATAGCAGGATTCCTGTGTCAGGCTCTCAAGAGCAAGTGAGGACAAAGCCACCTCCTTTCTGTGGTTGCTGAACCCTGTACTTCAAAACAGGCACATCTTAGACATGCTAATTGCTGCCAAGAGAGCACCATGTGTCATGCTCCATGAAAAATGTGATTTTGAGGGCAATCCAAATACATGGGTACAAAACCACATTTACCATTTCTTGGGTAAGAACAGCCAACTTCAGGAGCAAAGCAAATAGGGACAGAACTTGTGGTTCAGCAGTAGGTTGGGAAATTCCTGGTTTTTGGCCCTCCTTTGCCCTATTGCGTCTACACTCTTGTTGCTTCTCTTTGACCCACGTATCTTTAATGTGCTCAACTGTTTTGTCTCTAACAAAATATAGGCCATGCAGCTGCAGAGGTCATGAGTCAGGGCTTCTAGCCTACCCCACTGCAGGATGTAACCAACCCTCAGGATCACACAAGACAATCATTTGCCAAGGCAGCCTAAGACAGACATGGGACAGACAGTGAGAGAAGTATGTCCTTGAACAACTCTACACTCGTATATCTGCTTGAAGAAAAAATGTAGAAGAGGGATTTTCAGCCATATTACCCTCATAAGATTATGGGTTATTTCTCTGACGGGGAGAATGTTAGCTAGCACGGCAGACATCAGCCTAAGGCGTAAGAGGAACCAAAGAAAATGGGAATTTCTGGAAGAACAGAGAATTTTGTGGTTGAATGATGGGAGAATCCTAGAAGCAAGCCTTAGAGGCAGACCAGTATTTGCACATCAAAAGCCTTGCCCTTGTTTGACAACCTTGCTAGGTGAGTTTCTACATCCTCCTAGAGAATCTTCTCCAGCCTGTACCAACAGGGTTATCTGACCCAGTAACACTGTATTGATAACATCCTGGGTGTGTGTGTCCGGGGGTAGATTTTTCAGGAATTCCATACCCAATCTAGGGCTCCAGATTGCAATCACTCTGTCTCATATAACACTGTACTTCTTACTACTGCTGAGAGTAGCAATTAATTTTACTATGAACAAACTACATTCTAGGCACTCTGCTAAATACTTTATATGCTTTACTTTGTACACACTTCACCCTAACTCTATTAAGTAATCAGCAGAGGAAATTCAGGCAGAGTTAAGTTACCCAATTTACTCATCAGGTGGCTGGACAGTGAGAGAGATATAATTAGAATCCAACTCTGCGTGCAGGGCCTATACTCTTAACCAAAAAACTCCCGTGCTTCCAACAATCTACCAATAGAGAAGTTACCGTTTGAGACACTGTCTCTTGGCCAGGGATATAATCCCTCAAGACTGGCTTGGAGAAGAGATTCTGGACCAACTCTTAGTCTGTACTTCACTTTCCTAAGTCTGTATCTCCCTAAGCATCCATTGCACTGATAACTGTTATGGCTCCAGAATACAATCTATTAGCCACCTACCACCTTCTAAGTCTCTGGATTACATCTAGAATCTGGACATGCACATCGACTCACATTAATTTTATTGTCTATACAAAGCAGGACTAATCTGGAATATCCTGCAGATAAATACACAAACGAATATCCTTACAGGTCTCTTGCTTTCATTCCTGCCTCCTGAGGTCTGTTTTCCATAATATATCTGCTTTCCAGAGCACAGCTATCTAAAGTTGCAATGGAGGCCACGTTAATTTGCTTACGAAAATCCCTGCCCATGCCATGGGCATCACGTCTCCTGCTTTGCTTTTGTTAACTGATTCCTAGCGACACAGGCCTCCAGCCACTACCCTAAGACCGGCTTTCTCCCACTTTAGAGCCTTATATTCTGTGGAAAACCCTTTTTCCACAGCTGTTGGCCATCACATCACCTTCTCATCACCATGTCTTAGAATAAATGCCACTATTTAGCCAGGTGCCCCTTGACCAACTGAAGGATATTTCTATCATCTCTCTCTGTTACCTTGTTTTGTTTCATTTTCAGGACTCTTTTCAGTAGAGGGCATCACTGTCATAATCTATTTGATCACGCTAAGCACGCTTTTTCCCTCAAAAAGAGAAGGGGCATTGTTTCTCACTGCTTGCCTCCCCAGAGTCAGCAGGAGTACCTAATCTTGATAGATGGCTAATCAATAAATACTAAGGAACAAACGAACTGATGCATTTCCTACCATGTGGCACACAAAGCTCCTTCCACCTTGAAACAAAACAATGAAATAACCTCAGAAAGAAACACAAAATTCTGTCAACAGCAAGCATATATTCCATTTTCAGCTCAGCAGGTGTGTACATGAGCATCTTTCCTGCATCTTTCTGCATCTCTCTCAACTGGAATCACAATTCTGCAGGGCCAATACTGACTGCACTGCATGGTCAGCCAGGTGAGATTCAAGAGCAGATCCCTCCCATCCCCAAGGTAGAGACGTCCAAGTCTACTGAGGATGGTTAGTAAGAAGACATCTGTACACAAAGGAGTGCGACAGCATTTTGGGTGTTCCATATCAGACTTCACACACATCAACTTACAACGACTCTGTACGTTCTAAGGTATTATCACCAAGCACAGAGGAGGAACCAGGGAGAAATGGCATAACCCAAATTACACAGGTAGCAATTTTTAGAACCAGTGCTTTAAGACATCAAGCTTCAGAATCCATAGGTTTAACCATATTGCAAACAAGATCTGGAAGACGGTGACTAGAAAACATCTAACAGGGATGGGAAGAGTCAGACATGTTTTGAAAAATATCTCTTCCTAGATGGGGAAAAACATCTTCATACCAATGAAGAGGCAAATATTTAGGTCCGCTTCCTCAAAACTGAGCTAATTCAGGAGCCATATTTACAGATGAACTTTCGTTACGTCCGAGTTTCAAAGGAAACAGCAATTTCCTCCTAGTTGCCAGTGTTCCTTGAAAGAGAAGTCCTAATCTAATTTTGTGTTCTTTGAGCAAATCTTGGGCCCTAACTGATGTTTAGGGATCTGCAATGTGGACTTTTCTTTCCTTAGCTGGAGGCATCTACCACAGTGCGACCTGTCAACAGACAATGACAGACACCACTAGCTCCACACTGAGATGAATGAGCCATGTGCCCTGGAACAGGTGTGTGTGTGTGTGTTATACAACGTCACCAAGTTCTTTTGGTCATGTTTAAAGTTAGGATAAAATCCACTACAAAGGATTACAGCCAAGATAATAGACTTAAATAAGTAAAGTCTTTTGCTTACAGTAGGTTTGTCTCAATTATTCTAACATATAAGATTTGGGGTTTATTTTTATTGCTGTTGCATAAAGCAGAGCTTACCCAGACATGGACTTGCACCATACTCCAGTTAAGTGGAAGTTTTCCAGATTTTTCCTAATTTGAACTCTTTTAACTACTGCTTGAGCAGCTCCTGTTCATGAAAAAACAGTTGTCTTAAGACAATTGCATGTCAGCTGGAGGCAAAGGGAGCTGTATATACCTCGTGCTTTTAAGGTCTAGACAGTGGTACAGTTTTAATTGAAAAATGGTTCAAGTATCATGGCAATTCAGAGGAAGAGGTTCTTTTCATCTCCCAGTCCTGGGCCCAGGGTAGAGAGGAGGAGAGTGAGCTCCACCTGCAGGCATGCCGGTTTCCCTTCCTGTGAAGCAAGGTTGCATACTTTCCCCTTTGCAACGTGCTCCCCCACTGGGCACCACTTTTATTACTGAACTTCTAGCTTAGATTGTGTAATTTGTTTCCATTATTTATTGTGCGCTTTTGCACGATAAGACTGTCTTACCGAGGTCCGCAGAACTTGCTTAGGGTGACAGCTGCGTAAGAGAATCAATAAGAAGGCTGGTGCTTTAGGTGCAGGGCAACACGAAGAGTGTGGATCTAGAGTCCGACTTGCTGGACCTTCGAGCTTGCCTTGAACTTGGCTTCGGTTAAGGGATATATTTAAGGTTCGCAGAAAAAACGTACCGCAAACTCTGTTAAATTTGAACTACAGGTAATCAATAATGTTTCACTTTAGGTATATATACCATGCAATACTTAGGGCACATTTATAACAAAATATTACTTGTTGTTTGTTTGAAATGTTATCTGAGGAGCTGAGGAGCAAACGGTGCCTTTTTACTAGGGTGAATCTTGCTTACCTTAAGCCTTCCATTTACCTTCCAATTCAGAACGTTTCAGAACAAGAAAATGGCCCTGGCAACTTAAGTACACTTTTGACATCCTTCATTAGACGATTTTCTGACTGAGCAAAGTCTGTTCAAAGATTTGCAAGGCTGACTTTAGGGTACAGCGAACTGAGTTTAAGCCACAACAAAACAAGGCCTGACGACCACACCACAGCAAAAGCAGCGGGCGAGCCTCCGCGCAGGCGCAGGAGCACAGCCGCGTCCCCAGCCCCGCCCCAGCCTGGAGGGAGTCACGTGGGTGAATCGTCGCAATTGGAAAAGTCCGTATTTGTCACGTGACCGGGTCCCAGTTTCGCACAGGGATGGAGCCGGAAGAGGGGACGCCCTTGTGGCGGCTGCAGAAGCTACCTGCCGAGCTGGGCCCACAGGTGAGAGCGGCGGCGGCTGCTGTCGGCACCCGGCCAAGGGGTGATCCAGCGGGCGGTCGCGCTGGCTGCGGCCAGGGAAGGGAGGAGAGAAGGGGCGCAATTTTGGATGGCTGAGCCTCTGCTTCCCCTGGAGTGCTTAGGCGGCCAAGGCCTGGGTTACCACGTCTGCACCCGGGCTTGCTGGCTTCGGGAGGGACCGTGGGCGAACGTGGACGTCCAGCTGCAAACGCTTTGCACCCTAGAGCGGGCGGTCCACCTGCTTCCTGAAGCAGTCAGGGACCCGGGCAGTGGAGTGGCCATGGAGCCTTGGGAAACTTAGGACGTGCAGTGGGCGATGGGTGGTTTGCAGCCTGCTCGTGTACATTTCATTCATTGGTTACCTCCACCTGCTAGGCGTCCTAGCCCGGCTGGCGCACGGCTGGCTGCAGTGGGTACCTTAGTCAGCTTCCCTGCAGCCGTCTCTGCTCCCTTGAGGGCGGCAGAAACAAAACTTGGGAAGCACTGCCCGGGAAGCCCAATTATTGGCCAACTTCTCCGCGTGACCTGCAAGATGCCTTAAGTGTGTGAAAGAACCTGGCTTGTGAAATCCGGAAGAAGCAGCCTTCATTTTCTCTGTGTTCCATTTGCTGTTTAGGTAGGGGGCTGGAGGTGGAGTGGGAGGCAGAAGGGAATTAACTTAACCTTTTGCTGGAATCAAGGGGGAAAAAACCCAAACAAACCCCCAAATCTTTCACTCTTGTGTCTGCTGCCTGTGGTCACAGGGGACTGGGGCGTGATTACAAACCAGGACAGAGAAGCATCAGTAAGGAGTTTGAGTCGTTTGTCCAGGATTAGTCGGAAAAGTGGACGCAGGCTCGGATGTGTCCCTGAGCCTCTTGCTGGCTTTCGGACCTCCTGTCTTGCTCCTCGGATAGGACCCATGACCCGACCTGCCCTGTGGCTTCTGACTTCCGAGTGTCTGCCTCCAAATACCCTTTTCTTTGAATGTTGGGCTTGTGCAGTGGATGCCTCAGATCTGGCTAAGGCCTCACCTGATGTGTGTGTGGGGTTCTTTTTTTTTTTTTTTTTTTTAAGAGAGGAGGAGAGACAGAGAGGAAGATCTTCCGCCGATGATTCACTCCCCAAGTGAGCGCAACAGCCGGTGCTGCGCTGATCCAAAGCCAGGAGCCAGGAACCTCCTCCAGGTCTCCCATGCGGGTGCAGGTTCCCAAAGCTTTGAGCCGTCTTTGACTGCTTTTCTCAGGAGGTGGCGACAGCCCAGCTCATAGAGGGGCAGCAGTGGCCCTAGCAAGAATGCCTGAGCTGGTTGAATACATTGTAGAGATGATTTGCATGTTTTCTCATGTAATCCTTACAGCACTGCAGGAAGAGGGGATATTCTCATTTTGCACTTGAGGAAACAGAATGTTTCTACAGGAAAACAGTGACCCTAAGAGCCACACAGCCTAATTTTAATCCCAAATTCAGTTTTAATCACCGTTTTCAGTTAGACATGTTTGGGTTTCCATTGTTAATATTAGGGTGAAATAGAAAGCAAGGCATGACGGCCTAGTGCAATAGCCTGGTGGCTAAATCCTTGCCTTGCATGTGCTAGAATCCCATAAAGGCAGAGGTTTGTGTGCCAGCTGTTCTAATTCCCATCACAGCTGCTCCACTTCCCATTCAGTTCCCTGCTTGAGGCCTGGGAAAAGCTTTGGAGAACAACCTAAACTCTGCACTCCCGTGGGAGACCCAGAAGCTCCTGGCTCCTGGCTTCGGATCAGCTCAGCTCTGGCCTTTGCAACCACTTGGGGAGTGAGCCAGTAGATGGAAGAGCTTTCTCTCTTTCTCTGTAAATCTGTCTTTCCAATAAAAATAAGTAAATCTTTAACAACAACAACAAAAAGGAAATGAACTGAAGCTTTCTTTGAATAGAGCAAAAGAAGTAAGTAGGAATGTTGTGAAAATGGAGGCAAACCTAGTGCAGTTTGTACCTGTAGTGAAAAGCCCTGATGGCGGGTCCCGAGATGAAAGTTTTCATTTCTGTCTTCCCTTGTGGAATCCTGGGAACATGACACAAGTATGTGCATAAAATCATTTTAATATCTGAAGGTGGCTATCGTAATAGAAAGTCTCGAGTATTTTTTTGAACTTAATTTTTAATAGAAGAGTGATTTTTAGTAAGAACAGCGTTCAAAAGTGTTAGATTTCTTTGTTGTCAAGATGTGTTTACAGGGCAGAGTGGCAGAGAGAAAAGAGGGATAGAGAAAGGGAGTAGAGAAAGGGAGAGAAAAGCGAGAGAGAGATAGCTTCCATCACCTGGTTCCTGGTCTCAGTGACTGCAGTAACTGGGACTCACCCTGGTAAAGCTTGCTGCCAAGAGCCCCGGCCAGGGCTTCCCCGTGAGGAGCAGGTGCCCAAGTACCTCCTCTGTCCCGAGCTCTTCAGCAGGGAGCTGGGTTCGAGGCAGAGGAGCCGGGACTGGAACCTGTACGCTGCTAGAATGTTGGTGTCACAAGCTGTGGATTAACCTGGTGTGTAAAATGTTGTCCCCAAAATTGTTTTTTGTCACTTTCAGCTACACCTGCAAATAACATGAACTTCTCTCCATAGTTGCTTGTCACAAGGAAAAGTCTGTCTTATAATTTACTTACACACATACATACTCCCCCCCCCCCCACTTTTTTTTAGCTTCTTCACAAAGTGCTGGATGGCATCTGTGGCCGAGCTTACCCTCTCCACCAGGATTATCATGACGTTTGGGATTCCACAGAATGGAAGCATGTTCTAGAAGATGTCACACAATTTTTCAAAGCTGTTGTGGGTAAAAACTTATCTGATGAAGAGGTAACTTCCCTCCAAATTTTTACACCTTATAGTATATAATAAGGAAGGTCCAGTTGTTGTTTTTTTTTTTTTTTAATTTATCTTATTTTTATATTGGAAAGGCAGATCTATATAGAGAAGGAGAGACAGAAAGATCTGTGTGTGGACTCACTCCCCAAATGCTGCAGTGGCTGTAGCTGATCTGATCTGGAGCCAGGAGCCAGGAGCTTCCTCTGGGTCTCCCACACAGGTGCAGGGTCCCAAGGCTTTGGGCCGTCCTCGACTACCTTCCCAGGTGCAAGCAGGGCGGGCAGTGGAGCAGTGGATGGGCAGTGGAGCAGGCGGGATTAGAACCGGCACCCAAGGGGATCCCAGCAGATGGCAGGTGAGGATTCAGCTACTAGGCCATCAGCTTGGGCCCAGAATTTTTTAAGTTACTATTTAGAGCATTATGTAATTTGAAGACTGTTGTCAGTAAATCCTCATATAACTCTAAGTGGAAAATCTGGTTGTGGAGGTTTTGGAGTTTTGTAGCCTTGTTTTTGATTATTGCTCGTGTAATTGTGAAACGTTTAGTAAAGTGGTGGGAAATGTCCTGCCCCTGCTGCAGCAGCTGCAGGCAGAACTCAAAATTCAGGAAATCTAGAGCAGGCTCATTTGTGAGTCGATAGTTTTGTATGACCTGAGGGTAATGTTATAAACATTGAATTGTTTCTAGTGGAAAAAAGGTTTCCCCACTCCTGATATAAAGCATGCAGAAGAAAATGGGAAGTTAAAATGGCAGCTGTATTTTCACGGGATCAGCATCTTCAGGGTAGACATCTTGAAGTGAAATGCAAGATTACAGGCTGCATGTCGCCTGTTGAATTGGTTTTGCATCTTTATCAAAAATTCTTTGGGTATATTTAAAGTTGCTCATTTTAAAAAATGGAGTTCTCTATGATTATCCTGTTAATTTGATGGTATCTGGGCATGAGAAATGAAGCCTTTAATGGACCTGGCTTTTTCAGTCTCTGAGTTAAATTGTTTTTCAGAAAGAAATATCTGACCAATGCGCACACATGCTGTATTATTGTATCATCCTCTTCTTGCGATGCTTCTTGCTTTCCAGGCTGCATATTGTGCCGTGTGTGTATAGCCATGGCTTTGGTGTGTTGCAGGTGTATTTATATCCTGGCTGGTTTCTTTTTAGTTACTGTTTTGCAGAAATTTGTTAAAACTGATTTGATAGTTTTGTATTTTTTGCGTTAGGAGAGTTTTTCCCCTTTTATTACTGTTTCAGAAGTTGTGTGAGAGTAGAGCTACGTTTTTACATTCTGGGCAGCCTTTGTATTTTCTAACCAATTATTTGTATTCTTATAGGTATTCCAGCAATTGAATCAGTTGAATTCATCTCATCAACAAGCTATCATGAAATGCTTGAAAAGCAGGAAAGATGAAATCAAGCAGACTCTGTTAGGAGAAATAGTTGATATTTCGTCTGCACAGCTACAGGACTTTGACTGGCAGTTAAAGGTGAGAAACCACTTATTTATGAGTATGTATTTTTTTAAGTTTTTGGATATAAAGAAACTTTTTTATCATATGTATCTAAAATTTGTGTTATTTTGAGAGTACACTGACTGACCTAGAGAAATACCAAATATCGTGTAAATTGTATCTTTTGCATTGACTTGAATGTCTACATTCTGAATAATATTGTATTAATCGCTCAATCTAGAAGTCATTAAAAGCTGCAAATGGTAGGGTACTGTATATTCAGTCTGTATCTTTGAGCAGTCATCAGCAGAACCAGGGTATCAAGCCTTGGCACTCTAATAGGAGACTCAGATGTCCTAACCAGTGTCTTCACAACTGAGCCCCAATAGCTCCCTACAGTGCTAACATATTGTTTCGACTGTTGCATCTTGATTCTGTATGCCAAACTTAAGAAATATTTAAACAAATTAGAACCCACTCAAGGGAAAAAAAAGTGTGTCTGGGAACTTAAAATTACACTATTTGAAATTGCTTTGGAACATACCAGGCCATGTTGCTGGGAAAGATGAAACCTAATAGAAATGAGGCGTCTCTAAAAGTTGTATGGATGAAGGAACAGGTGTGTGCCCTGTGACTCCATGGAGTAGGACAAGGCTACGGTTTGTCATTTGCAAGAAGATGAGTTTGAATTCAGCCTAGAGAAGAACTTAGAGACTGAGAATCTGGGAATGGTTTTCATTCCTTCTTAAAATAATATTTTCTTCAATCATTCATGATATGCAAGGCTAAGCTGAGAAATATTTCTGAAGAAATACTGAGGAGGGCTCAGCAGGATGATTCAACTAGCCATTCCTCCTTTTGCAAGTGCTGGGATCCAGTATGGGCGCTGGTTCTTGTTCCAGCAGCCCTTCTTTCCATCCAGCTTCCTGGGATGACCTAGGCAGAGCACCGCCCGAAGCCGTGGGGCCTGCTCCCATGTGGGAGACCTGGAAGGAGCTCCGGGCTTTGGATTGGCTCAGCTCCGGCAGTTGAGGTCTTTTGGGTGGTGAGCCTGCAAATAGATCTTTCTCTGTGTAAATCTGGCTTTGGTATGTAGTTAATAACATAAAAGTAAAAAAAGGAAGGTAGGGAGAAAGGAAAGCAGGGAAAGAAAGAAGGGAGGGAGGGAAAAGGGAGGAAAGAGAAGAGAAAGAAGATGAAGTAGTGAGATTCTCCTTAGGTAGATAGTATTACAGTGCTATTTCCAAATCACAGATATCGAGAGTCTTCTATTTGGGTCAGAGAAGGAGATAAAGGTTACTGGAAAAAGTTCCTGAAAGATGAAATTAAAACAAATGGAAGGGAACTGTCTCCTTTTAACTATCTCCTCTGTGCTTGCCTCCTATTCATGTCTTGGAAATGAAGAACAAATAAGTTTAAGACATAGGCTTATTTTTGGGCAAAAAGCTTTTGAAATCTGGGCCCGGTGGCGTGGCCTAGTGGCTAAAGCCCTTGCTTTGAACACACCAGGATCCCATATGAGCGCCGGTTCTAGTCCCAGCAGCTCCACTTCCCATCCAGCTCCCTGCCTGTGTCCTGGGAAAGCAGTTGAAGACAGCCCAAAGCCTTGGGACCCTGCACCTGAGTGGGAGACCCAGAAGAGGTTCCTGGTTTCCGGCTTCAGATTGGCGCAGCACCGGCCGTTGCGCTCACTTGGGGAGTGGATCATTGGATGGAAGATCTTCCTCTCTGTATATCTGACTTTGCAATGAAAATAATTCAATCTTTAAAAAAAAAAAGCTTTTGAAATCTGAGTACTGATACTCTGAACAAGATTCAGTTTAGGAATTTTCTAGCTCAGATTCAAGGAAAATCGAGCTTCTCTTTGCTGTCTGCCTCTGAAGCCTCAGCACTTGCTTCAACAAGTGTATGCCATGAATACTGTGTTCAGTTCTTCCATTTGCCCTAGGATGAGTATACTCTGGAAGCAGAAACTGAGAAGTAGGTAAATATGTTGACTGGCTCTCATTGGTCATGGTATCTTTTTTTTTTTTTTTTAAGATTCATTTATTTTATTGCAAAGGCTGATACACAGAGAGGAGGAGAGACAGAGAGGAAGATCTTCTGTCCGATGATTCACTCCCCAAGTGAGGCCAGGAGCCAGGAACTTCTTCCAGGTTTCCCATGCGGGTGCAGGGTCCCAAGGCTTTGGGCCATCTTCCACTGCTTTCCCAGGCCACAAGCAGGGAGCTGGATGGGAAGTGGAGCTGCTGGGACTAGAACCGGCGCCCATATGGGATCCCGGCGTGTTCAAGGCAAGGACCTTCACCATTACACTATCACACTGGGCCTGTTCATGGTATCTTGATAATGTTATTTGCTTGATTATGGATTAAGTATCTTGATTTCTGAGAGTTTATGGGTAGTTTCAATTTTATTTGTTTTTGTACTTGGTGTTCTATGCTTTTGGCTTCTTTAAGCTTTAAGAATTCTCCATTTTTCTTGCTGCTTTGGGCCAACTCAGTGCTTCTCATGCATATTTCTTACCTAGGTACCACCACTTGCCGCAGAGTTGCTGACTGATCATTAACTTTTATCCATTGTTTTTTTATTCACTCTTTTCTCTCTCTTTTTGAGTGCTTGTTGTATGACCTGGGTTTAATTTTCTTTCACCTTCTCTTCTATACTTTCCTTGTATAGGAATTTTTGTTATACTATTATTTTGAAGTTCTGCTGCATATTTAATATAGACCCTTTTACTATTTTCTGATTATTCTTTTCCCTAAATTTACACAGCTTGCACTTTCTAGTGACAAGATTGCTACACTACAAATGCCATTATTAAACCTACATCTAGATGTCAAAGAAAATGGTGAAGTAAAACCATACACTATTGAAATGAGTAAAGAAGAACTCCAGAATCTGATAACTTCCTTGGAAGCAGCTAATAAGGTATTTGACCTAATTTGTCATATACTTTAAGTGTTTTTGGTTAATATTATTAGTGTGGGAAAATCTGTGGGTCATGTAAGGCCCATGAAATCATTTGGTCTGGGCCTGCCAAGGCACTAGCAGGTGGGACCTGGCACAAGTTCAATTGGCTAATCCTTGCAAGTACCAGGATCCCATGTGGATGCCGGTTCATGTTCTGGCTGCTCCATTTCCCAAACAGCTCCTTGTTTCAGGCATGGTAAAGCAGTGGAGGATGGCCCCGAGCCTTGGGACCCTGCACCCTCATGGGAGACCCAGAAGAGGCTCCTGTCTCCTGGTTTTGGATTAGCTCAGCTCTGGCCATTGTAGCTATTTTTGAAGGAATGGTGGTGCAATTTTAACAGTTGCATTTCTTCTGCAGTGGGGCTTGTTGGTGATAACAATAACTTTTTTTTTAACCATGAGATTTGTTGATGCTAATGAGTATTTAGTGATTAAAACAAATAGTTATGATTTTTTTAAAGAAGAGTTTTATTTAAGTAGACAAAGTAATATAGGAGACCAGTGATGGCTGGTAATGGTTATGACAAAATCGGTTTGAGACAAGATGGCAAGTTGACAAACTTCATGTTTCTGGTGGAGTGACTCATTGACAGTAACTCCTCCTGGTATTTCATAAATGGGAAAAATAATGCTTAACCAGCAGAAACTGTTGCTGTGTGGAAGACATTGCAGTAACTTTCTCTGTAGAGGCATGCCCTTTCATTATTGCTCAGCATTTTCACCAGTGATAAAGTCTGTCTTCCTCTAGCTGCTAATCAGCCTGCCCTTTAAAATCCCTCATGTGTCTCAACTTCTCCCCATTCTCTCTGTTGGCTAAAATGTTTTAGTATCTTCCTGAAATGATGCATGCATTGAGTAACCAAATGGATTGTCTGAGCCTGACTTGCTTTTGGGTGGATTGGTGTGGGTGGTGTGTACGCGTAAAGCATTGTGAGGCAGAACCTGGCAAAAATGCTGAACAGTTCTGAGCCCAGCTCTGGGAGGCCAGTGTTACCAGTTACTGCATATTGCGCTTGTTTGCTGTGTGCTTGTTGTGTTTGGGGGTAGCAGCGGCATTGTGGTCTAACCTGGTATTGTCCTCTTCCCTGATTGGTGTTTGAAGGTGGTCCTGCAGTTGAAGTAACTGGAAGTGTCGAAGACCCACGCTGAGCAGAGTACGCTGCTGCCCCTCTCACGGCAGAGAGGTTCCTGTGTGCTTGTTCAGCAGCCCTTGTGTTGTATTGACCTGTCCACCAAGCTGAGCACACAGCAGTGTTGGCGATTTCAAAGAGAAAGAACAAGAAATTACGTGGTTGACAGGAAGAGCATCACATGAAAGATGAAAAAGCCATAGTAGCAGTTTATATTTTCATGTTTGTTTTGCCTCAGTTATTAAGTATTTGAAAATAAAATCTTTGTATATATATAATTTTATTGAAAACAAAAAGTAGGCTCTAAAGTGATGTAAGAGTACAAAGCACAAATATACTTGAATATTGCTTAAAGAATTATGTGAATAGCAAGGACACGTGTTATGAATATATACTTAATTTGTGATATTTAAAAACAACTTTCTTGAAGAATGTATAAGCCGCAATTGTAACTCAGGACATTCCATATCTTTCTTGTATTTCAAAGGAAAGATAATCAAGTGTAATGTTTCTTAAGATAAAAATTCTTTGTCAGATATGATTAGGAGAAAGCAAATTGGTGTGCAAGACTTTGAGTTTTGGAATTATTTAAGCTAAAATCTAGAACAAAGAGAATGGAACAGCATCGTTACATATGCATCAGTGTGTCAGGTTAGATGTTTATGATCTAATAAGAGGAATAGATGTCTGCATAGTATATTCAAATATCAGACAAAAGTAAGCTCTGTTTTTGTTATAGACTCTTAATATTGAATTTAACTCTTTTGAATATTAACAAATTCATTGGAAAGCAAACTTTTTAACCTCATTTAACTTTGATGACAAACATTCTGAAAAAATAAAAAGTTTTATTTTTATGTGTTGCTTGGTTTCAAGTGACTTCGCATAAGCAGTAGTAAGGACTGCATGAGGGATTTGAGCCTGTGCCTGGGCATTGTGGCACTTGCTGAGGGGGACTATGCAGTTTTTGCTATTTTCCTCTTACAAATGAAGATAGGATGACGAGGTGAATATGTGAATGTGACGTAAACAGGGCTGCTCACTGTGTGTCTGCAGAGAAGTGTGGCTTTATGGATTTGTTACAGGTGAGGGATTAGAAAGGAAGCTTGGGCCACAATATTTATCAGCATGTTGCTTTCTTTATTTGGAAGATTTGGCTATGAAGACATACCAGCTGAATTTTAATGTGCTTAGCATGCCTGTTGATTTTACCTTCTTGGGCAAAGGCCTTGTGTCATGCAGCCAGAGCAGTTTGTAGACTAGCAGTACAGGTGGCACTGATCTTGAGATCTCTTGTGAATTTCAGCCTTCTGTGCAGTGTGTGTCTCCGGTGCAAGGCCGAAACGCTGTCTGCTTAGTTCCCTCGTCCCCACATGGCATCATTGCATTAGCATATCTGATGGCTTCACTGAACTCTTTAGTGTTTTACTTTGTGTTCTGTACATAGTTTAAACAATTCAAAGAGCTATTTTTATTTGAAAAGTAGAGTTACACAGAGAGAAGGAAAGAGAAATCTCCCATCTGCTGCTTGGCTCGTCAAGTGGCTACAGAGGTGGGAGCTGAGCTGATCTGAAGCCAGGAGCCAGGTGCTATTCCTGGGTCTCCCTCCTGAGCGCAGGGATCCTAGGACTTGAGCCACACAAACTGGTGCCCACATGGCATGCTGAGGATTCATGTGTGCACAGCCCCATGCTCTGTATACATTTGAAGTGTGCAGTTTGAGTTTTGACATACATAGGCATGCCTCTGCAAGCATTACCAAAGTCATGCTAGGAAACGTGTTGATAGATATTGAATGTTACCTCCCACTGCTCCTGTCCTTGCTCTTGATGCCTTCTGCAAGGGACCATTAATGGATTGCTTGTCATATTGATTGATGTATATACTTAATTTTGACTCTGACTTTAAGTACTGCCTTGAGTTCTATCCTTGTTGTACATATCAATAGCTTGTTTTTTTGTTGAGAAGTAGTGTAATGTAGATTTTAAGAATATTTATAAAAAAATGTATTCAAGGGCCGGCACTGTGGCGTAGTAGGTTAAGTCTCCCCCTGCAGCACTGTCATTCATATAGCACTGGGTTTGGATTCTAGCTGCTCCATTTGTGGTCCTGCAGACAAACGGATGTAAAAGCAAATAAGTGGGAAAAGCAAAACAAAACAATCTTTAAGAAGAATTTATTTGAAAGACAAAGAATGACAAGGGAAAGAAAGATATCCTGTAGCCACTGGTCCACTCCCCAGATGTTTGCAATTGGGCCAGGCTGAAGCCAGCAGAATTCCACCCACATCTCCCATATGAGTGGCAGGGACCCAGGGACTTGAAGCTTCACCTGCTCCCTGTAAGAGTGTGAATATGCAGGAAGCTGGATTAGAAGCAAAACCAGGGCTCAAAGCCAGAGACTGATACGATATGTGAGCACGCCATGCAGTGACCACTGTGGCAGGTGCCTGTCCCCGGTGCAGAGTTGTGCCCTAATTGATCATTTTACCAATCACAGATATTTCGGTTGACAAGTTCTTGGCTTTTATAAAACAACATACTATGAACATCCTTGCATTCTTTTGAATACACTGTAGGGTGAAATGATTCCTACACTAACCCAACCCTACCAGCTGTGACCACTGGGGAGTGAATCAGCAGTTGGAAGACTGCTGTCTTTCCCTCTCTGTAACTCTGCCTTCCAAATAAATAAGGAAATCTTTTTTAAAAAAATCATTTAATTATTTATAATAATGAACATCTTTTAGTGTAATTTTTCCATCTGTACCTGCATCGTGAAGTTTCAGATCTGTTGCCCAGTTTTTATTTGGATAGTGTTTTTTTTTTTTTTTAAAGTATTAGATTTTCAGGGCCCAGCATGGTGGCCTAGCTGCTAAAGCTCTCGCCTTGAATGCGCCAGGATCCCATATGGGCACTTGTTCTAATCCTGGCTGCTCTACTTCCCATCCAGCTCCCTGCTTGTGACCTGGGAAAGCAGTTTAGGCTAGCCCAAAGCCTTGGGATCCTGCACCTGCATGGGAGACCTGGAAGAGTTCCTGGCTCCTGGCTTCGGATTGGTGCAGCAGTGCCGTTGTGGTCACTTGGGGAGTGAATCATTGGATAGAAGATCTTTCTTTGTGTCTCTCCTCTCTGTATATCGGACTTTGCAATAAAAAAATAAATCTTTAAAAAAAAAGTACTAGATTTTTAGAGTTCTTTAAATGTTCTGATTCTATATCCTATATATAAGGATACTTCCTAAAGTTCATAAAAAAATGAATGCTCTTTTAATTGCATTTTTACAGTTTCAAAGTACCTTAACATGTTTTGTACATATATTCCCCCTACACCCCATAAATCTTACTTTTTAAAGAACTATTTTAGATTTGCAAAAAATAGATTAAAATACCTCACATCATTTTTCCTTTTAGTGACACATTACTACGACATCTTTTTTTGCAAAGAATAATGCAGTGTTTATGAAATCTCATCATTTACTCAACCTGAGTTTTTACCTAATATCCTTTTCCTCGTTCAAGATTGCATCCTAGTTGCCATATCACATTTAGTTAGGTGCCTTCAGGTTCCCTTTGCTGTGATCATTCTCCAGACTTCCCTTTCTGGTACTATGGGTTTTATTTAAAGAGTGGAGGTGAGATATTTTTCACACGTCCTGTTTTTCTCATTGGACTGGAGTTACAAGTTTTAGAGGGGAAGCTCATAAAGGTTAAAGTACTACTTTGCCTGCTGTTATTGATACATGTCATTAATACGGTCTATGATTTGACATTGATCTTGATTACTTGGTGGAGTCAGTATGTGTCAGATTCCTGCACTCTGAAGTAACCACTCCCCTGTTCCGTAGGACTCCCTTTGGAAGGAAATCAGCATTTTCTGTCAGTACATGAGGAGGGGAGTGGTGTTTTCTATCAGTTTTGTCAATGTTTGCTCCATACAGTTGCGTAGTCTGATGGAGCATGCATGTCTATCTTGAATTGTTTTTTTTTTCCCCCCAGTGAATTACCCTTTTCATCATTTTTTATCTCTTGCCTCTTTCTGTAGGTTATCTTCAGTAACTTCCCAAGTAGATGGATTTTTGAGTCTCAGATCAGGAGCTCATAATCTATTCTCTCAGTTTGTGGCACTGCAGAGTTTCTGGAGCTGTAACAAACCATTACACTTTTGTTTTCAGCAACTCCTAGACTTCTAGAATATTCTAGGTCATGCCCATGTTCCAAGCCAGGGAACTCCTTGAGCCTTAAACATCAGACACATTCTCTACTTCTATACTCCTGAAAGACAGACTGGAGCCATAGCAGCCTCTGTGTTCTGCAGGCACCCTAGAACTAAAGCAGACAGTACCATGCTTCTAGTGTATGCCGCATCTTCTCAGTACACTGAGACAACAACCTATCACTTGAACAACACACTGGAAGATCAAAATGTTCGATTCATGCTCCAGCTCTTTCCTTTCCCTGGGGGAAGCTGGAGTTGGCTATCTCCCCATCCTGGCTCCTTGGTGAGCTGGGTTGGAAGCCGACCAGTGAGTGCCATAGGTTTTCCCACTGGAGAGGCAGTTGGTTAATGCAAATGTCTCTTTATTGGTTTCTGGATTATTTTTTTTTTTTATTTTTTTTTTAAAGATTTATTTTTATTATTTTTTGATTGGAAAGGCGGATATACAGAGAGAGGAGAGACAGAGAGGAAGATCTTCCGTCCGATGATTCACTCCCCAAGTGAGTGCAACGGGCCGATATTATGCCGATCCGAAGCCAGGAGCCTCTTCCAGGTCTCCCACGCGAGTGCAGGGTCCCAAAGCTTTGGGCCGTCCTCGACTGCTTTCCCGGGCCACAGGCAGGGAGCTGGAAAGGAAGCGGAGCTGCCGGGATTAGAACCGGCGCCCATATGGGATCCCGGGCGTGCAAGGCGAGGACCTTTAACCACTTGCGCCACCGCGCCGGGCCCGGGTTTCTGGATTATTTACTAAAGGAATAGGTCTATCTACTGCTGACCTGGTATCTCAGAGGCAGGGGAGGGAAAGAGGAATCCATCCTGCTGTCACGTCGCTTTGCAGGTTTAGACACATTGCTGCTCTGCGTGCTCAGCAGCCTTTGGTGTGTTCTGGGTTTGGGTTAGTTAGGAGTCATTTGACGGGTATTGCTATTCTGTGTTAATATTCTACTCCACAGCAATATCCAGTGTTGAGCATTTTTTTGGTGTGCATATCTTCTATCTGTACATCTTCTTTGCCAAGGTCTTTTTAGCATTTTTGTTTACTTTAAAAATTGTTTTCTTATTGTAGTTTGTAGTGTTCTTTGTGTATTTTGGATACACATTTTACTAAATAGATTTTGCAAGTATGTTCTTCCTGTTTATGACTTGTGTTTTAGGTCTGTTACCTGTGGTTCTCGAAGAGCTGAGGTGACATATCTTGATGTTGGTTGCTTAGTTCTTTAGTGGATCATGCCTTTGATGTTAAATAGAAGAAATTATTGTCTAACTCAAATTAGCAAGGATTATCCCCCATGTTAGAAGTTTAACTTGGTAATTGTAGACTGTTGAAAGTTATAGGATCCATGTTGAAATCTTTTCTGAACACAACAAATAGTTAAAAGAAAGGATGCCATGAACTCAAATGTGGAATAAATTGGATACCAGTGATAGCCCAAATACACTCCCCCAACACATACTTTCACTGATGTCTAGAGGAGCGGCCTCTTGCTTGTTGTGACAAACCTGGCATGCACTTCTGTCTAGAGATTTTCACACTGCTTATATGTGTTGCAAAGATGTTGATGTGAATGTTTGCACTGCTCTCCTTACTGCTCTTGTCTCTATATTGTCATTTTTCTCTGAGTGGGGAAGATTTGGCTTTC